TGTACTTGAACGTTTTTCTCTAAACATCAAGAATAACATAGACGAAATAGTTTTTTCGTTGTTAATGTGGTTTTTAGAATTTAACAAGACGACTTTAAAAGGTTTAAAACACCCATAACATTGTCATTACTTTAACATTCACACTGATAAAGTGATACATTTAATACTTTCTAGCATTAATAAACAGTGTAAAAATATATTGCATATATATATATATAAATTTGTTTCCTTTTCCTGAAAAAACCTAGTACAAACTAGTAGTATATGATCCCCCTTCAAGTTTCTTTTATTTATTTTAAAGATTGAATAGTAGTAGTTTTAAATTAACAGAAACAAAGATAATGGGAGTAGGGAATCACTGTCGTGCTCCCCCATAACCTCTGCCATGATAACCAAGCACATTAACCCCTCAGCAACGGTGGTTCCCTTTTGGAAAAGTCAGTTCGTGTTTTCGCACTGACTGAAGTGGGGACAGGATTTGGCCTGGTGAGCTTTGCACTGGACAATGTCCAGATCCCTCTATCCAGTAGTTAGAAATCTTTGCTTAGGAAGTGTTTCACTATTAAGAGTTAAGATTAAGGAGTGCTATGCTCAAGTTGTTCCTTCCCAATAATGACAAAAGATTCAGTGATAAATTATTAGGAAAAACAGAAAAGTAAACTTGCAAGGTTAAATGATCTCGTAAAGGTTTTGACCGTGTCGAAAATTTCACAGTGAACACAGTATGCTAGTACAGCTGAATGTTAATGTTTGCAATGTCTGCAATGACAGAAATATTGCAGGTAATTTTTAGCACACAGCAGCTTCCTGGTTTTCTGGACCAAGATGAAAGACAAATAAGAACAAGAAATAGTAAGATTCACTAAAGCTATTTACCATGCTGTATAGGAAGACTATGTCAAGACCTATATCACATATAACTATTTAACAGTTAAATGTTTATTAATGCTTGAGATAATCAAAGACAAAGCAATTTTGCCTCCTCCACACTTCACGAGCAGGTCCTGATGGCAAGCACACCCAGGCATGTGCAAATAACAGACCAAAAAATCTAAGTCAAGTTAGAAGTGTAGGTTGGATGACATGGACAAATAAACATCTAGTAAAGGAATAAAGCATAATATGGATAAATAAGCGGTTCATGGCTGAAGAAAACCAACCTAGAACATTCAAAAATTGCTCTTCTATATAAATATATATATATATTTTCCTCCAATAATTAAATCTGTGATACTTAAAATCTTGCTAAGAATAAACTTCAATCTACTTATCCAATATTGATCATATCTCTGATTTACAGAAGGTAAAGACAAATTACTTTGTATTATTAGCATAACACAAAAGAAAAAAAATATCTTCCCTGTTGCAGTAGTCTGCCAAAGCTGATGCATGCTGAGCCCAGCACAGAGATAAACACAAACACACTCTTTTGTCGCATCCTGTAACTTGTTTTTGTCTATGACCTTGTCACTTCATGCAATACAGTGCTAGCAAAAGTCGTGTGTCAACGGATGCCATACGTGACGTTAGAGGTTACTGCCCTGACACAAAACCTCGGTAAAGAGCAAGTACRTACATAGCAGGAATATTGCAGAAATACAGCATTTCACAACTGCATTAATATAACTCTACTGAACAGAGCCCAAGCGGCATTATTTCACATTATAGAATTACTTTTTTTTTTGTAAAAATAGCACTTGAGCAAGTACAAGCATACAGAAACTCAACTGATGTAAACGGGAGCTTAAAATAATGTACCACTGTGGGGATACAGATYGCCATTCTTCTTTCCCTTCTTTTTTCCTTTTTGCTAATCATCCATGATATAGGTCCGGATTAAAATGTAAAGATGAATATGAGCATCTATCTTTAGGGCTACATTTTTAAATTTACTTGAATGCAACTTCATTCAAGTTTGTGACCTGTGCCAAAAAAAGGTATAAAGTAATTGAAAAAAAAAATGATACAGAGATAACTGCAGGTAAGGGAGGGTTATCTTTTAAAACTTTTAAAAATAGTTAGAGGATTTCCAGCTTATAACAAAGCCCACATCCTTCGAGTGCCATAAACTTCACAGTGATTTTAAAAAAGGAGATGTACTTGAAAATGAATGACTTGCCTGATTAGCTATAATGGAACATGGCAAGGTCTTAACATTTTTCTAAGTCAGTTTTGTCACTTGGGAACTTCAATATCAATTCACAAATCTAATGCAAGAAAAAAAAAGGCTTCTTGTAGTTTTATCAATCATATAGTTTTGTCACAAACATAGTTGCCCCAAATACTGTGTGTGTGTCCCCACAAAAGACAAAAGGTTGGTCTTCTTATCATTTCATTATCGTAAATGTCTTTCAAGAATGCACGGTCAATAAACCACTTCGTCTTTCAAGAATGCACGGTCAATAAACCACTTCTTTTATTTCTTATCGAGATTGCTTTATCTACCCAGAGTGTACGATCAATAACCAATTTGAACGAAAAAGGGCAATCCATTCCTTTTCTGAAAACAAATTTCCCCACAGTTATACACAGTTTAACTTCTTTTGAAAACCACCCTCTTATTATGGGTTTCAAGCAATACAGCTAAGGTAATATACTGAAAAACATGAAAAAACAAACAAGTATATTACAGTAATTTATCCCTGCAATACCAAATTTGCTTGGCTAGTTAAGATCTGGAGGTTCAATCTGCTCTATCCTGTTAGCTTATGAAGCCCCATGCTTACCTAGGACATGTTTCTAAGTACTGATTGGGGTCTAAGTACTGATTGGGGTTTAGGAAGTATATATGCAACTAAGGGTCTCCCACCTGTTTTTAAGATTCTGAGGACTTAAAAAGAACATCCCAGTCCCATCTTTTCAAGCTTCTTACACTTAGGCAAGTGAGCACTAGGGCACACATAGTGAGCAACTGAAGGTCTACAGGCTACGTTCGGGGCAAACGCTTCAAGTACAGGAGATACAAATGTCAATTTGGGGCACTCCAGACTGGGAGCGTTTCACACAAGTCTGATCTCGCTTACGAGGCTTCAGATACTTCATTTTCTCCATAAAGGTTTATGCAAGATGCAAGGCCATAGGCTTTGTAGGACATAAGGACTCTTCTTTTTCRTTCCATCCTCCACGTACCGTGACTTTGTACTTACCTGACTGATGCTGAATTCTGTGTGTCACCGTCACACAGTCACGACTTTGTGAATGCTGGTTCACAAAATTGGGCAAGGAAGTAGAAGCAGCTAAGGCTCCCACGGGGCACAATTTTCAAYGGTCTCCTGAGAGCACTCGGAGGAGCTGTCGCTTTCTCCCTGGCAGTGCTTCCTCRCTAGGGAAGAACTCTTCTTGCTCTAACAAGTCTATACTAGAATCACCGAAGGGCACAATCTGATGCTTCCCTCCAAAACAACAGGGACAAGGTAGACATGTGTAAAAGCACAAAAGCTCCTTAGAGCCCTACTGTCATGCTATGGAAGTACAGCAGCATCCCAACTGGCCAAGCTGAACAGCTCTAGTTGCGTCAGGACCGGCGTTTGGCCCCGCAAGATTTAAGGTTTGGATCAGCATTAACATGGTTTAAATACTCAGCTGGATCCAAAGAGCACGTACACAAACACACAAAATCTGTATGCATCTTGTGTATTATATCACACCTATTAACAACTAATAGAGAAGGCGAGAACACCGTATTCACGCTACAAACAACATACACAAAAGTGTGGTTATTTTGGCACTCACTCAAGGCTAACAGTCATTTTAGAGGGCAGGTACTAGTAGTGCAACACGTTCCTTTCTCTCCACTGTGAAAATCTGCGGGGTTTGCTGCTTGGCCGGGGCGGCCAGCGGCTGCTCGTGCAGGGCACCTGCCCCAGGCCCCTGCCCCGGGTCACCGCCAGCGCTTGCTGTAAGGCAGGGCGCTGCTTTTCAGCAGCCTAACACAGAGGCAGGTTCAAAGAATGAAATTATCTTGTAACTAGAGCAAGCCCTAAGGAAAAAGGACTGAGTTTTCTACTGRGTTTGGAAAAAGATAGGCAATGGTTGTCTCTACTGCTGGCTGTGGGTGGCTGGGGTATCTATCACTTGCAAGGCGAACCCATAGGGATCATTTGCCTCCGAGTTCTGGGTTATCTACAAAATCCTAGCTGCCATAAAGAATATATGAATTGAGCCGACGGGGAAATATGCGAAATATGTTAAGTCATGAAGAAAGCTTTCTGTGATTTCAAAAAGCTGCTGGGAGATTTTTTAGTTTCGGGRAGGTCAGTAAAATACATGGAAAACATATACCTTAATCCAAAACATTCTCAAAGGAGGATCTCTGYGCTGATGAAAACTACTACTAGTGACATGTAAACTTTTTGGAAATCTTCCAAATCTCCTTCCCCAAGGAAGGGGGATCACTGATCAGATATTGGATCACTGATAAGACATCTTGTGGTTTAAAACAAGAGTGGCTTAGTCTTGACTGCCCCAACTTCAACATGGCCTTTGTTTGTTCTTCTGAGCTTTTGATTAAAATGAATGACAACTATTCACATAAAAATGTTGAAACAATGTATTTTTGTCTGTTTCCAGTGAGAGTATTATGATAACTTTAATAACCATAAAGAATAGGATAATTTTTTTGTTACTGATATTTCTATGTAGATCTAATTACTGGAAAGAATCTCAACAAATAACTAAAGCAAGAAGAGTGATTAGAGAGGTAATAAAAAAGTACTATTAAGAAAACCCATTTGACTTCAGCATAATTTATTTAAAATTTACAAATCACTTTAAAAAAAATAGGATTATTCCTCTGTCTCAGTTGGCATTTTTATTTCTTGTCCTCCTCCTGCAAAGGCTTTTCTGAGTTTGTTCTTAAAGGCAGTTCTTGCTGTCAGCTACCTGAACTATCTGATCACATTTGTCTTGATCTGATGCATGTTCAACTATAAGTGAAAGTAAGGACATGAGGAACAACAGGATTTTTTTTGAAGAAGTCTCATAAAAGAATACTGGCTAGCACAAAATGTGGCAAATTGTGTTGGAGAGTTGGACGAAATTAACTTAGATGCCCAGAAAAAGCATAGAAGCATAAACTGCTCGGTGGAGATGTCCTTACTTGGGACATGCCATTGAGGTACAGTTTAGAGCARAAGTGCATGAGAAAAGCATATCCTCGGCAATCCTTCCGAGGGCCAAAGGGGTCTCCTGCGCCTTCTTCGCTGCAACCTTGGTGTCCTCAGAGCACAGAAGTGGCAGGTGAACACACAGCCAAACGAGGGCTACACCACTTTGCACAGAGCTCTCTCCGACCTGGAACGCCAAGTCTGGCTAACATTCAAGCTAGTACTTACACTTTTAACTTCCCACAGGTACTAAGGGGGGAGTAGGAGCTTATTTTGGTGGCTGAAGACTTAATACACAACTGTATGTGGTGCTTTCCTTTCATAGCAGATGTCCTCCAAGCCAAAAGCAGTAAAAAAGGAATAAAAGTTGCCAAGTACTATCTTTCCAGATACCACTTCTCTTTCTTGCTCTCATATCAGAATGACTTCTTCTAATGTCTCCATTTAACTRGGTTTTAAAAAGTTCTAACAGAAGGAAAGAAGAAGAAACAAAGAAATGAATTTCTCACAATATAATACTRCTGTCTAAAATGTCTTCTCAGGTCTTGATCCAAAGCTTATTGTGTTATTGAAAAACCTTTGCAGCCATCAAGTCCATGCAAAAAATGTTGGTTCTAGCAGGGATTTCAACGCARCACAGACTCTGGCAGCATCCCAACTAGTGCCATCCACCTCTTTCTGTTGGCTTGCACTGACACTGTCCATATCYGCTCCCTCTCCATAGGATGCTCGCTACCTGATCAGCATGCTAGCCACCTGGAAAGTAGTTAAATTTTACACCCTCCCTACAGTGTGTGTTTTACCCCTCCCACGTAGCAACAGAGACACTCAGCGTTTGGGTATGTCAGCAAGCCTGTCACTTGGGCACCCTGGCTTAAGTTTCGGCCTTGTGCCAACCACAGCAGCTGAGCAGCAAGGAAGAGCACCGTGAACCTGGCGTCGAAAGGGCTCTGCGGGACACGGGATCTTTGGGCTGCGCCCAGATCTTTTCAAATACCACTGAGCTGTGAGTCAAGTCTTAAAGTCAATGGGGAGAACAGGGACATTAGCTTTGCCTGTACCTTAGCTAAGGATTTGTTAAGGATTAGAAGCTTGGCCTTTTTATTCATAAAAGCAAAACCATCCTGGAGCTATTTCCAGGTGCCCAAGCATCTGGGACACAGCAAAAAGGAGCAGGTTCTCTACAGCCAGCCAGTTCCCTTCCTTTCCTTTCCACCACCAGGTCATCCCTTGTATCACAGTGTGCTATTTTCTGCCTTTGAAAGTATGACAGGTTACCAGTGCAGCACAGAAGAGGATAACTCTTACTTCCCTGGACGTCTTTCTTCAAGAAAAACAGGTAACTCTTGGAAAGCCTTCACAAACCTGGAAGCTTCTCATCCTGAGCATCCTCACATACATCAAAACTCTTCCCAGGTAATAAGAGCCACCCGTGCAAAACAAAACAAAAACATAACARAACAAAAAAAAAATCCAGACATTTAAATCCTTATAAGAACAAGTGCTGAGTTTTGGCAAACTTCCCTTCATCCTCAAAACAAAAACCAAAACAAATGACAAACAAATAAGAAATCTCCAAGTCCATGAGGAAGTCCTTGCCTTTGTTTGTTATTGTTGTTTTGGTTTCAGGCTCATCTATGGGCTCACAGGGTCACTGGAGGCAAAGTTGCAAGAAAGGCTACCCTTCAATGTGAGAAAAACAGAACATGAACTGTTCAAGCCAGTTTGCTGTCTCTGGACACAAGCCAAACACAGCTGCCAACCTGCATGGCACGTGGCAGCACATGCACTTTGCCAAACACTGATTTTGTGCACTCTAAGAGTGAGGCTGATAAAGGCTAAGGGAAGAGCAACAAAGTTACTAAACTTCATCCAGAGTTGAGCATTAAAATCAGTGCATGAGCTTCTTCTGAAGGAAAGTAGAACTGCTGGCAGCTGTTTTTAAATACCCAACTACTATTTTTGATAATTTCACACAAGTAGAGTAACACATCAGGGTGCTCATTCTGCTTTCTTGAAAATCTGGATGAGCTTTTTCTTTCTTTTTTAACTAAAAAGAGTTTTTGCATTGTGCCCCCTGCAAGTTATGCTCAGCTGCTTGTACCTTAACTCTGCGGAGCTGCTTCTCTTCCTACAGCAGTGGAAAGCGGATACTCTGGAGTGAAAAATTGATACTTTGGAGTAATTCCAATTATTATGGAGTCAGGCAGCATAAGTGAAAGGAGAATCGAGTCCCTTGGCTTCAGAAAAAAAGTACCCAGTCATGAAGCCCAGCTTTGGCAGTGTAATTTTGGGGGCAAGTCATACCTAATTACATGAATATTAATTTTAAGTGTCCTTACTCTAAGGAACCATAAATTTTCTTTACACCTACTCTCCATTAAAGGAAATATGTGCCAATGTATGTGCATGATAAGTGTGCATAAGGACACTCACCTAACAATTGCCAATCTGAGTGGCAGTGTTTAGTCATAGTTACTATTTTAAAGCATTATCTTAATGYCCCCTTCATTTCAAGTGTGAGGCAGTGCAAACTTGAGAACAGACTAAAAAAGGTTTTATAGACTTTCTTAGGTATGTCTTGCTCCTCGTCTCCCAGGTTAGTACATTAGCTCCACCCAAACCCAGGCAGTCAGAACCAGGCTACGGTACACACATAACTAGCAAGAAGGACAGACAACAGGGGAATAAGGGCTGGTATTTTCCACATCTTTCTGCTGACAAAGATACCTTAGAAATTAAATGGTCTCAGAAGTGGCTTGTTTTTGGTTTTTTTTTCAGTTGTTCCTAAATGGTATATGAAACATACAGGCTAGCACCTGTATATTACAGCCACTTACTCCCCAACTGTTGAATCTTTTAGGGGAGTGCCAGATCCCCTATAAGACATTGAAAAAAAACCCTTAAGCCCCAAACAGTAGTCAAATCAACAGGATGCTCTTTAGAACAGCTACTATYGAAAGATGCTCTTTCCAAGATGTTCTCTCCTACGTCTTCAGGGCAACTGGACACTCAGGAATGTTTAAAATCTTTCCCTAGAATTGACAGTGTGGAATTACAGCTCTTGGCTTTGGGGTTTTTATCTAATGCTCAACAGAATGGTGTCTTTTTTTATACTGATACATTTATTTTTGCCAATATACTCATGAGGAATGTAATGAAGTGGCGTTGTACTGCAAGTAGCTCAGCAGATGTTGAAATCAGTTCCAGTTCCTGAAAACAACTTCTTGACAACACAGTCTTAGCATTCACAATAACTGAAACATGTGGGATTCATCTACATCATTCTTACAAATATATTCTCTTTCCCCCTCTTTTTTTTCCCCCTCTGTATTGTAAACCCTCAGCCTTACTTGCTTCCTTGCACTTTATGATCGTACGTGCCTGCATGCTTATAGCCAGATACGTATCCCGAAGAATCCACCAGATCTTCTCGACCTGCTTTGCCTTTTCCTTTCCCGCTCGGATCAAACCTCTCTTTRTGAGAACCTGTGAATTTTGTTGTATCTGTAAGGCGTGATACAGTTGGAGATGAAATGGCTTTCTATTGGAAGAAAGAAAAAACAAAGAAAGCATATCAGAAAACAATTACTATTAAACAATTCTTGCTACAAGAAACAAGAAATGCTCATTTCTTACCATTACATGCATATATTGACAATGATCATTATATAGCCAAATACARAGTAGTGCAAGTTACGTCCAAAACRTTTAAGAAGATTTTCAGTAYCAAATATTTCAGACTAATAATCAAGTTTAAACTTTCAAAAATATCCAGAAATTCCAGGTAACAGACATGTTCRAAACCTCTTAAATCACCCATGTGTAAAAGCCAGGCTCCACCAACACAGAACAAACTAACCAATAATTAGTTATTATTGGTTATTATCTCTATAATTTCAAGAGCCTGAAATTTATTCTAAAGACTAGAAGCCATGAGAGACGTTACAAACTAGCTGATCTGCAAGTTATGTTCAATGTTAGCAAATTAGCAGTCTGTGAAATAGCGAAGGAAAGATTTTCTCCTATAWTGTTTTCCTAAGCCATATCAGGCTACTTAAAATAAAGGTTTTGCTGTTGTTGAGACAAAGAAAACGTGTCTACACAAACTGAATGAAAAAGATATTTATGTTTTTAAATCTTCAGAAAAAGGGCACTAAAGAACAAATAAAAACACATATAAAAGTTGTGTATTGTAGTGGAAATGGTCTTAAACTGAGCAAAGACTAATAAAATATGGATATCTTTCTTATATGAATCAATCCTATACTAGGGTGCATTTTRGAGTCAAAAGTGCCACTGTTCTTGTAACAAAGTAAATACTTTGGGAAACTTTTACTCATTAAAATCCTCATTTCCCCTCTACCTGTGCTCATTGCCAAATGTGAAATGCCCATTAACCAAATCTAATAAACAGGTTTCTCAAAACAGCACGCTGTATAAACATTTGGCTAGTAACCCTTCCATATGACAACACAGCTTGAACGTGATTTAATGCTGGACATGGAAAGGTCAGGAAAGATGCTCGAATCTGTGGCAAAAGGACCAAGATGGGTTTAGTTAGACTGAAACTAGTAATAAGGGCTGTAACACTTAGACACCAGGGAAGCCACATATCCTGCACACCGTTCAGATAAAGGCTCTTTGGAAGGGATTTTTCTGTCCATATACATAACTACTTTATGAGACTCCCACGTTGTAAACTTCTGCTCCTCTCCTTCCAAACAAGCTCAGCACGTCCTGCAYGCAATAAGCAGCCCTGCAATTTTGCCTTCAGGATGGGTCTTGAGGGGAGATCAATTCAGAGGCAAGGATTTGGTTACTAGCTGGAGCAATATGACTGCTGGAGCCTCCATTTCTCAAAATAACATTGCTCAAAAACCTCCGAGAACCTTTTGACCTGGGTGCTATTTTTCTAGACTGAAAAACAGAAAAGAAGATGGTATCTAGGAAGCAGTCATCCTTTCTAATAAATACATGCATTTTTCTTATCCACTTTGGCTTACTAGCACTTGATATCCAGGACACTTGTAATCCCAGCAGAACTAATTTTAAGAATACACCCTTTGATCAGCAATTGTGTTAGCAGCCAAGCTAGATAAAACAAAAACACAGCAAAAATATGAAAGCTGGGACATCACAGCACCAGAGTGGGCTCCTGGCCTGGTGCCCAACCGGGAATTTATTCTGTGTGTTCTTCAGAGCATTAGTAAATCAAACAAGCTGTATACCCAAAATCCCATAAGGGATCATCTGGCCACCTGATATTCCTCTGATATGTMAGGAAAATCCTCCTCTTTCCCAAAGGACGTAGGATGTTTCTTGCTAAAGGGATGTCCTTGCCTATTTGCACACTTCCTCTTCTGTGTTCTTATCCACAGGTGTTAAGAACATGGGGTTTCTGCAACATGCATACCCTCTGCATCCTCAGGTGCACAGAAAAGCCCCAGGAACTCAAGAGGGCTTCCTTCTCCTTCAGCAAACTGGCTTGCAGGACAGACTGCTGTTTGGATGAATTGCAATGGTAAGCCTAGTTCAAGTGGTTGGACAGAGAAGGGCTATGGTTTCTGCCYTTTGTCTAAAAAGGGGTGGCATGAGCAGTAGGAAATTTGTCTCAATGTCCAAATTACATTGCAAACAAGCAAGATTTTTSCAAGTGCATCACCAGCAAAAGCACTAAGGCATGTACAAATGTGATCTGAATGGAAACGCCTGGGTATGAAAACACCAGCAGAAAGAGCAAAACGAGGATTAACAGAGAGGCCTCTGCTGTAATGAAGGACATTCTCAGGACACTGTTCCCAGGACAGCATTCCCAGCGGTAAAAGTGAGGAATGTGTTGTTTATGTCTAGATCAGAAGGCCTGCACTCTGATAAGACCACAGCATAGACGGAGCATCAGAAGATGCTTGGGATGACCCTGCATCCCAACAGCAGGATGCAGGAGCAAGGCTGCGGCACACCACACGTGCCTTCCTTTTCCTGCTGGTCTACCAGGGAAACGGATAGGGATTTCAAACCAACACCAGGGAGCAGAGGCTGTGCAGCAACCAGGCCTGCGGTCTACAGCAGCTGGACTAAGCAAGCAGCTAAAGCGAGGAACCTAATGGTAGCAACCCCAGACTCTTAAATGGCTGAACTTGTGTTGTTCAGCAATGTGGAGCTTTGTTTGTTTGTTTTTCAGGATCATTCAGAATAAATAAAAGCGCAAAWTGTAATGTTATCAATCAATAATCACACTCAGCCTACCACATTTATCAGCAATGTCAGTAACACTCCAGGCACAATTCAAAAGTGACATCAATTCAAGCTTTATTCCCCTCCCTAAACATAAAAATCGCAGTATTGRTTAGCAGAACAACAGCTACTGCTTTTGATGAGAAGTGGTCACAGAGAACAAAAATAACAARTGTGAGAGGCAAGCTACCCTAGTAAATTTTACACCCATACACTMATGTTTGTCAAGTTCTTTACAACACTTCAGTTTAATTAGAACCATAAAATTCATGTAAGAATTAAGCTTGGCAGGAATATTTGAGTATGAGTCTGTAACCAAAGTACAGACCCTAGCCTGCTCCAAGCAGGTCTCAAAGCAGGCTACTCAGAGACTTCTCCAGGCAAATCTTGAACACCTTCAAGGTCAAAGGTTCCACAGACTCTCTCACAACTTCTTTCAGTATTTGACTACCCACAGATTGAAAAACAAACAAAAAACCAAAACCAAATCCTGACATTTCAACTGAATCACCCATGGGCCAACTTGGAATGATACAGAACTGCGTGGAGGGGCGGACACTCTGGAGGGCATCTCATCCCAGATGCAAGACTCAGCCATTTCCTAGGTTGAGCTTCACAAGGCCCCTCTCAGTCCCTTTCTCCAGCCTGCACAGCTCCTCGGAACTCCAGCCACCATCCTCCAGACTGCTCCCTCTCACGTTACTCACATCTCCAGACCTGCCCACTCAGYCCTCCACCCCAGCTCCCAGGCCATTAAGGACAACCTTCCATTGGGAATGGCTCCCAACATTGWGCCCCAAGAGACACTCCCATGTACTGGCTGCCAGCTGCACCTTGCAACACGCAGCACAGCTCCAAGCACAGCAGTCCACCTACTTTGCCACCTCTCTTAGAGTCCACTTAGGCAGCCAAAATCTCACTAATTGGCCAATAAGAAAGGATCAACTGCAAGGCCTGGGCAAATCCAGGCTGGCTGCTCCAAAACACCTGCTTGTCCTTCATGGATTCAGAAACAGCTTCCAAGACACTTGGCTTCCCAGCCTTCCCAGTGACTGAGGTCACACTGACTGGATGGGACCTTCCCTCTTTGCCCTGCTTGAAGAGCAAGRTGATGGTTGCCTGCTTCCAGCCATCAGGCATTTCTCCTCCCATCGCCATGTCCTCTGGAAGAGGCCATTGGCCAGCTCCTTCAGCACACCTAGATGCATCCTGCAGTATCCCAGCCTTCTCCATGGCCCTTCTCATTGGGGGGCCACACTCTCCAGGGCCTTCCTTTTGCTGCCAAGCACTTACAGAAACCTTCTTGCTCCTCCTTCACCTCCAGACCTGCTAGTCTCAGCTGCTGCTGAACACTGGCTTGCCCAGCTCTGCTCTGTCATGCCCGGGCAATATTCCCCCTGGGCAGCCTCTCCCTGCTCCCACCCTCTGGCTACTTACTTTCTGCCTTGGAGCTCTGTCGGAAGCCCCATGTTCATCCAGCCTGGCCTCCTGCCATGCTGCTCCACCTTCTCCCATTGCAAAAGACAGTTCTTGTGCTCTGAGGAGGTGGTCTTGGAAGATGAAGCAGYTCTCTTGGTCTCCTTTGCCCTCCAGGGCAGTTTCCCAAAGGATCTTCTCATCTCCRGGGCTGTAATTCTGCTGTTTGACTGACCTCTCTCAGGATCTTGAGCTCCACAGTTTCCAGGCTGACTGCAGCCCAGGCTCTCCTCAGCCTTTGCATCTTTAAACATCTTTCTTTTGTTTATGAATAGTATGTATAACAGAGCAGCCCATGTAGTCAATTAAACCATCATCTTCACCAAGAAATTGTCTTCTGCATCATCTACTCCTTGCCATTTTGCCTTTCCATCAGATTTTGGGATTTTAAAGTCATCCATAAGTGTCAACGCCTGGGACCATCAAGGCTTTGCCCAGCTGCTGGCTATCACRCCTGAATTAAGTACCTGCTACAACATGTCCGGTGCTGGTCTGTACTCTGCTCCTTATCTACAAGCTCTCTACTGGTTCATCATCTGCCTCAAGGCAAAACTCCTTGCATTCAAGCCATGCCTTTGAATGCCAACCTCTACACTGGCTTCCACCCTGTCTTTCCAGGTGAGCCTGTATCCATCCACTGCAGGACTCCAGACAGGAAAACTTTCCCACCACTCTCTTCAATCCGAATGAGACCATAGCTCTGCAACATGCAGAGTCTTCTAATTCTTCCTGCTTGTTCCCCACGTTACGCATATTTATGTTCAAACATTTGAGGYGGATCCCAAGATGTCCTGCATTTACAGAGGAAGGGAGACATCCTCTGTTCTCAAGCAACTGCCCAGACACATCTGTGGGCCTCTTATGCCCTTTGCTCTCTCTGAGTTATGGCAATCTTCCACCTTCTACCTCTAGCTGAAAGCCCTCCTCACTAGGTGAGGAATCCTAGTTTGCAGACACTTCACATCCTTGTTAAGCACTTTGCTAAGATGCATCCATCCCTGCTCAGTAGCTCCTCGAAGTCACAGAAACCAAAGCCCTGCCTGTGACACCAGCCACACAGACTGGGTTGACTTTTTGGATGAGTCCATTTCTACTCAAGCCTTTCCTCCTTACTGGAAAGATTGAGGAGACATGGCCTGGGCTTCCACACTCTTCATCCTCACCCAGGACTCTAGTCACTCCAGATTACCTCTGGGACAGTTGTTAGTACTCTTGACACCTACAAAGGAGAGCATGAAGGGGTCCATGTGAGAGGGTTGGACAAAGCTTGGCAGTCTGTCTGCAGTATCTCAGATCCTGCCACCTGCTGAGGAACAAACCTGAGACACCAGGTCACGTGACAGGTGTCTGCATCCTCCGCAGGAAGGAGTCTCCACTATCACTTGCCTTTTTCCATTTTTGTGGTCACTGGTTTTCGGTTCAGATGGCTCCTATGAGTCACCTGACAGTTCCTGTTTGTCCTCACCGGTACTCACAGACGTTGCAGATCTGCAGGTGGAGCATCCTCATCTCCTCCTGGATGCCAGAAGTTAGAAGTTCCCCTTTCCATCTTGGCAGTATCGCTTCGCTACGGTCTCCATCGGTCACTCCTTCCTCGCCCTGTGTGGACTGAGCTTTCCACAAGTGTCATGTCAGGCTCCACCTTCCCTGATGATGTACAGCTTCATAACCTCTTCCACCTTCACTTGGCACCTCAGCCAAGATCACAGAAAATCTCCCACAGAAGAGGCCACTGTTGCCCCAGAGAGAGCAGGCATTCTCACAGCACAAGACCTAGGCAGARGGGGATCCTTCTTCTGCAACTCTGTCTGGGATGAGGCCTCTGATGAGCTAAGGCCAGTGTCACCAGTCTTTGAAGCAGGAGGTTGAATGAGATGATGCCAGGTCCCTTGCAACCTACATTATCCTACAATTCACTGTCAAGAATCCTTTAAATATATACTGATGTTCAAATGGTTTCATTTTAAGCAGCARCAAATGTCCAAAGTGAGATTCTTTCCACAGGAGATGCATGGTTCACAGTTACAACACCCAGCATTTGGTACAGGGAAAGAGAAAACCTCAGGCTGTGGATCCTCTGTGTTGGAGTGAGGGCAACTAAAAGACATGAGACCAGGTTTAGATGTCTGGTTGCAGTCCTTGAATATGAGGAAACGACTGCCAAATACATGACTTGCACTGCATATTCTACAGCCAGATCATTCCTGCACGAGCTCATAAAACTATGACTTAGTTAACCCACACTCCTTGCACGTGGTCTTTTCTTCCTGTGTGCCCAAGACAGCCATACACATTCCACTGYGGGTAAGAAACGAGCCCGAATTTTCTCTCAGTTTCAATGTCTGGCTGCTGAGCCTTCTCAATCACTTCAAATATAAATAGTGTTTTTTGTTACTCCAAAAAATTCTGAAGAAGGAAAAAAAAAAAAAAAAAAGACAGGGCAAGATAAAATCTTTTATCATAACATACCTTATGATCTTCACTCTCTGATGTCAAAGTAACAATTTTCAGACCATCCTGTGGAAGCAGTGATTTCCTCAAGCAGTCATTCAGCACAGACATATCCTCTCCCAAGAGTCCAGCCAAGACCCACACATTAAAAGATAAGGCACAAAACCCTCCAAGTATTCCTAAAGTCTCCTTATCCGTAAGTGCCACTTCAYCAGGCTTTCCACTGTCATCCAGACATATCAGTGTGTCTGTAGCAACAGTAAAACTGAAGCTTGATGCACACCTGCATGGCCTACAGGAGAGCTACTCAGAGCTGGGTGCACACTACATGGAAGGACAGAATTATCCTAAGGCAGCTTAGGAAAAGCTTCATATAACTCTGCCTAATCGTGTAGAAAGCGGGGACTGTCCAAATCAAAATTTTCACTTTATAGGATTCCCAAGGCAAGTAAATCAGTAGAATATTTCCTGTAAGACAAGTCTGCAAGTAGGTATATAGACTTTGTATCTGCTTTACTGAGTTACTGTTTTTTTGTTTTTTTCTTTTCTTTTTTGACTTAAATCTATGTAAAGGTTGAGGTAATTTTTACCAGCTAGGAACTAAATTAGCATGATAAACCCATCATATTGTTTTTCTTTTTCCCTGCACTTCAGCCTGCAATAGACATGCATAAATGCATTTAAGCCCTGCCTCTTGCTTCTCTCCTTTGACRGTGGGAATGAGACAATATTGTGACTTACATCAGGTCTTCCCTTTCAAGAGCTCCATCCATTTTCTGAGGCTTCATTTCATCTCCACCTCCTTAGGACTGCTCATGCCAAAGAGCCTGAAGATTCACTGCAGACTATGGGCAAGATTCAAGACTGCTGGTGTGTATTTTTYCTCCCTTCCTATACCCCTGCTGCTGGGGCACTTGTATAGATGCTTAGCACTTACATAACACTAGCCTGCATCAGCAAAGTCCTCTCAGCACCTTGTCATCCATCTAGAGGGAGCCTGTAGCCACTGAGCTATCATTTCAGCACCTGACTGCTGAAACACCAAAAATGGAAAGCAGTCTGKAGTCAGGCCAAAATGCATATGCACAAGTCAAAGGGAGAATCCATGGACGGATTTAAACTCACTAAAGTATTTTATTTAAGCTCACTAAAATGAGTGAAGGAAAAAAGAAATTTCTGTATCAAAACTGCCACTTGTTCCTAGTGGTAGCAAAGAATAACAGAGTCAAATCTTGTAAAAATCTGGCAAACTGTACAACTCAGAAGAGATGTCTGCAGCTGACATTTCCACTGTTCATTTGTGCAGAACCAAATTCTGGAAAGATTACTTACAAGTAAATTTTCATTCACAGCTCTAAGCTTAGATTCAGGGAGACAGTAAATTTTAAGCAGATGAACTAAATTGACAGGGCCATTCAACTTCACAGCACACGCTGCAGCCTCTCCTGAATTACGGTGTAAAAGACTGCCCAATTTGAGCTTTTAAAAAGACAACCAGGGAATAAAACACACCAAACCTATCTACGCTATGCTTTCTAAAATTTCTTTTCCATGTAAAAAGCTTAATGACACCTTGTCAATATTAAACCCAAAAATGATCAACACTGCAGTTCCATCAGATGTGGAACAAACCAAAACCAGAGACCAGACCACAAAAAAAGCCCAGTAATTTTTCCTGGTGTTCCACAGTCCACATGGGGTATTAGGTGTATTTCAAGTTGTCTTTACTTTGGTGTTTGGATATTTTACACCAAAGTCTGACAGTGTCTGTAAGGAAACAGGTGAGCGCAGCAGCATGAGGACAGGAGGAAGAGGACCACGGAAACAGTCACATACCGTTACTCCAGATATAATGGGGACTTTGCCTTCAATTAGTTTATGTATTTCTTGAACTGCTTCCTCGTCGCTCTTGTCTTTAAACCGCTTCTTGGAGAGTTCCTGCAGAGCTTCCTTGAACTGCTCAAAAGTGATCGTTCTGGAAGACTTCCCCCTGATGAAACACACAGAGAGGGCAAGACGTGACCAGGGAGYGCAGCAGGGAAAGCGGGAGCCGCTCGGCCTACTCGGGGCGCCGAGTTGAGAGCCGTGGGGACGCTGCCTTCCCCATGCATATCGCTAGGGCAGCGCTTCACAGGCTTTGTTTCTCCACGTTAGCTAAGGACAGGGCGCCGCGAGGGACAGGGCCTGTGGCGTGAGGGCCTGTGGTTCCCCATGGTGCGAGGGCCTGTGGTTCCCCACGGCACCATGGCCTGTGGTTCCCCACGGCACCATGGCCTGTGGCTCCCCACACCTGCGGCCCTCAAAGCCACGAAGCGGAGCAGCCCAGGTGACACCAGTTACAGAGCGGGTTTTGTTTTGCTTGCAGTAACTACCTGTGACATTCGACCTGTGGGCCACTTTATTCAGGTGTTTGCAAGTAAACCTGAGGAACAATYCTGCTGGATAAAGCAAATCGTTAGAAAGTCACTGAAACTTGAAAATCCTCCTTCTCTATTGAGCACCGACAAATGTTAAGTCATTAATGTAATTTCGGTAATCATTTTCCTCCTCAGACCGCTGCCCGCACAAAACACTGACATGTTTTGGGAAAAGCCCAACTAGCAATCTGATAAAACCAATAAAAGCCCCCAGAATTCAGACCTGAAGACTTCCCGCTCTTTTCAAAGCTACCAAGCAGCCTCTGCTCCCAGGCTGATGGAAAGCTTAGCTTTGCTTCCAGGGAGAAGCTTTTGCTCCAGCAGCGTGCGGAGGGAAGCCTGGGAAGCACAGTGGGAATCAACACTCCAGGGAAAGCTCTATTTATAGGCCCTCCTGCAGAGGTTTTACACCTGTCAGGCCAGCGGGCTCAACTGATAAAGCACTCKCAAATAAATCTCAGTATTTATTGCAAAGATGTGTTTCGCCAAGCGGAGATTSAGGCAAGCCTGCTTTTTAGCATTTAAAAATACTCGCTTTAGACAGGAGAGAACGTAGCAGAGCACATGCTGTTCCTTTCTTTTACCCAATACTAAACTATTTTTAGTGTTGTTTCAAAATTGAGATATGAGACCACAGCATTAACAAGATTGCACACCATAAATATACACACACACACACACACACACACACAATATATATATCTATATATAGAGACAGACAGAGAGATGGAGATGTACAGAAATGTAGATATTTATTTTGGTTGTTATGAATTATATCAAACACAAAACACACCTTTTTTGTTTGGTAAATTACACATTCCTGCTTGCTTAGAGCAAAAGATCTGCCATATGTTTTAAACTAAAATTTAGCAGATCAAATAGAAAYGTTTCAAAAAGATGGTCTGATATTTATGTTGCTGTGGCCTTATTTAGTACCATCTTTAATAGCAAAAGATGTTTTCAATTGCTTGCAGCATTAGGAAACTCTCAAAGTCAAAGAAATATTTGAGGGTCCATGTTGCTGGGAAACATGCTACTACATCAGCTTTGTTTGCAGCCTAAGCATTTCTTCTTATGCCAATTCAGAGTGTATCTCAAGCAAATTAGCAAAAAAAAGCCCAGACCAGTCCTTTCAGCGGTGACAGCTGTTTATACAGGAATAAACGATAGACTGCAAGGACAGAGAGAGTGCGCGCTGGCAGCGGGGAGGCCAGGCTGCAAACACCGTGCACGGAACCTCCCTGCACTTCACTAGCCAGGAGAGCAGCTCGCGGGTCTCTCCCCACTTCCCTCTCGCGCAGACCCATCACCCTGCCCTGCCTCCTCGGGCAGAACTGCCCAGGGAGACCTCTCCCTTCCAAGCAGCAACAACGAGGTAGCAAAACTCAGCGTTTTATGCCATACTGGAATTGGTCGTTCGTGAGAGAACTCAGCACAATTTAACAATTTATATACAGATCATTTGCATTATCTTTCGCTCTAAGGCAGCCCAATGTGTAGCAAATTCCTAAAGCCTTCACACTCCCACATTTAGCCAGAAATAAACTTTTCTTGGTTTTGCTTTTGGGTCTTTTTTTTTTTTTTTTTTTGACCAAACTTTGCTGGTTGCAACAACCTGCTTGCTCTAAGTGATGCATGAGCTGGAATAGCTAGTAAAAGAGCAAGCACAAAGAATATAATTCAATAATTCATTAATCATAAAGACACAAGGAACATACTGCAATTAACCATTTGGAATTTGCCCAGAACTCTCATTAATAGGATTAACATCCCTCTGCTCATGAAACATTCCTGAAGACTTTTACCTAACAGAAAAGAGGTCAGAACTACATTTTGTTTTGCYTCTCATTAAAAACAAAACAAAACAGCCCTGCATTGGCAATCCCTGCCCAACTTCAGCACAAGGCCCTTGGTGATAGAGACTTGCAGCCAAGTCAGGGACACAGACCTTTCCAATGCAATTCTGGAGCAAAGAGGCTATTTGGAAGCCTCCCATCGGATCTGCTACTGCTCAGCTTGCAGCATCAGTCAGGATCCCACTGGGAATGGGACTGAGCACAGAGAATAGCAAAACCTGTGGCAGGTCATGCTGACTCCTTGACAAAGACTTTATGCTCAGGCTTAGCTTCTTTTTTTGCTCCCTTTTTCTAGCCCTTCCTCTGCCCCTCTCCTTTTTTTTTTTTTTTTTTTTTTTTTTTT